CCTCTTCGACCTGAAAGGAGAAGCGGTCATGGACGATGAAGATCGTGTACTGAACTAAGTGCACCTATTTCCAAGATGTCATATTTTATGCATTTATTTGGAGAATTGACCTTCCATGCATTAGAGTCTCTCGTGAAGAGAATAGGAGATAAGTGTGATCCCAGCTTAACTGGTTATTAGGTTATTTAGTAAAGTATTTTTGCGTCTGTTGACCCGTACCAGCTGAGTGCGTTCGGATAGGCAGTTTACGAACGAGCGCAAAGCATTTGGATCAATATGAAGCAAGCAGCTTTTCAAAGTAATCCAATTATGACGCAGTAGGATAGCTGTTCTGTCTGGCTGCGTATAGCACTCTAAGAACAGTCAGTCAATGGTATTCCATGCGAAAGAAAAGCAAGACTCAGACAGTCTGTGATAACTAAACAACAATAGGAGGAGGATGTTGTACAAAAAGCGAAGTGGTTAATAGAACGAATAAATGGCTATCATGGTATATATACTTTGCGTCAAGGTTGCACCTACTGCCTTTTCTTTTTTTTGCAACTTCCATTTTTTTTCGAAGCAGTTGATGGTTATTTTAGCCTCGTATTTCCTGTCTGTGATGGAAACAAATATCTCTATGCTTTCTTTAATTGCATATAGTTCTCCAATTTACTTCCTCCCTGTTTGTAAAGTGAATCTATACAAATTTCGATCAGTTATGCCAGCAGAGTCAGTCATTCTGTCCTATATAAATATCGTAAATCAGATTGAGATCTTTTCTAAAACTTGATAAATTTATTGTGACCGATCCTCTTCATCCCATCTACCAATCTGTTTCAGAATGATATCTCATTTAACATGATCCCATTATATCTGCATATATTCGACGACCAAAGCATACAGAAAATTTGTGATGGCCGGCTTCAGAATGAGGAACCAGAAAGAACGGAGGAAACGGAATCTACTCGAATTGATCGTTTCATGTTAACCGATACATTAACGATATTGACATGCATTCGTTGTCTGTTCATCAGTCTCTCCCTTATTCCGTTTCTCGTTCCTGTATATATTGTTTTTTCTTGTGCATTATATATGTATTGTTTTGCCAGTGGGACAGTCTGAAATTCTATTCACTCTTAAGTTTACTTACCATTTTTGTTAATTTAAGCAGTAAACTCTTTTGATTTGATTGATCGTAAACTTTATTTCCATTCTTAGCAGCGCCTTGATTTTTGCCACTAGATAATTTACGCTAAGCTGCGTTGCTAAGTTTTGATTTCAGTAATTCCCGCGAACATTAAATGATGATGTGATGAACTACCTCCGCGCTTTTCATTCAAAGTTACCGACGATGTCCTTATCGAACTGCAGTTTTGAATCATATAATGAAAGGTAGGGTTTTTAGATTTTTATTTATTTATGCATTTATTTTTTACGTGTATTCTTTCTCAGGAGGTGAAACTTACTTCTTTTTGCAACAATGAATGCGCCTACCGGAAATGCACTGGACACGGTAAAATTTTTTTTTATACCAAATCCATTTTTTGGTTTGAAACTAATCGGTTCATTTACTTCATTTGCATGGCAGGCATATGGATTTTTGTGTTGTTGTTTATTCGTCGTTTACACCTTGTGTTGAGTTTTAGTCAGCTTTTAGTTCGCTATATAGTCTGACAGATGAAAACACATTTTGCTTGCTCACTGATCATTAGCTTTTTGCTCCGTCTAATGCACGAACGACCGTGTCATGTTTTCCTGATTGAAAACGAGACACGCTGCCCTCTTGTGTCCCCATATTAACATTGCAGGGGGCCTGAAAAAGCACCAGTTCTATGCTTGTCTTCACGCGACTTTCGTTCTTTCTCGCGACATCAGTTATCGATTGTTGCCGATGTCCTCAGTGCCCAGATCGGCACCGACCATGTTAGCTTGCCCGACGTGCTATGTGGGTATGGTTGGGGTGTTACTAATAACAGCCAGTACTGCCTGTTAGAACTTTTCGTCACATACGACCTCTTCGTCATTGGGACGCTGTTTCAGCATCATCGCACGCATCAGACGTGGATGGTACCGGGAGGTTACTTACATAGCCAAATTGATTACGTGCTGATCTGCGACATATGGCAGAGTGCCTTCTACTACACTCAGAAGAAACTAGGGGTATACGTTCGAAGTGACCATTTCTTAGTTGTCGCGAAATTCCGCTTTTGTCTGGCAATAACAAGAGGAACGTACCGGAAAGGGTAAACGCCCGCCTTGATACGGACAAATTGAAGGAGCGTATCAGTTGTGAAGCGCCCCAGATGCTTAGCTTCAGCACATTCGCTGACAGATTTTAGGACATGCCAAACCCAGAGTTGCTCTACTCCGCCTTAAGGAAGGCATCGTCGCTGCGGCTACCAGGAGTATTGATACCAGCAACAGAAAGTCGTATCAGCGGATGGTGACTTACTGAAGCTGTCAGTACCGAGAGAATAGGCAACCATGATAGGACTTTTGATTAAAATCACAGTATCTAGAGAACGGAAGTGAAAGGAGACTGGATGATGCTGTATTTCCATGTGAATATAATCATTAGCGGAGACAGACAAAAGCCTACCCCAGTTCTCTAATACAGCAAGTTTAATGAGCCGCTTCGAGATTGACTCTTACGAACGTCAAAAGCTGTGGGTTGAGCACTTCACAGAGATGCTCAGTAGGCCTGATCCTCCGGTGAATCTCCAAATGAAAAAGATAGTTGAAAAAAATTTACATTTTTACTGCGCCCCATTGTCGGTCGAAGAAATCTGTGAGCCTGAAAGACGAAGAAAGGCGTGATAATGCCGATCTTCAGGAGTGAGGGTCGCGCCGACAGTACCAGTTCTCTAGGAATCACTTTCTTACCGGTGCTGGAGAAGGTCTTGGTACGAATAATTCGTTGGCGATTAAGGAATCCGCCGATCGTTTGCCGCTGCGAACTGACAACTGGCTTCTGAAGTCGGCACTCATACACAGACATCTTTGTTGTAAAGCAAATCATCGAGCATTGCCGTAGCCTTCCAATTTCCTTGGCACGCGACATTTCTGTACTTCTGGGTAGCCTTCGATTCATTTCATCGCCAGACAGCTTGGCACGTTATTCCTTACTGTGGCAGTTCCATAGAATATGAACCTGATAGGAGGCCTGTACCAGATGAGATGACTAAATGCGCTATCCGAACAGAAGGATTGCTCCCAGACTTGTACAGCATTACCTTACTGTTCGTCAAGGTGAAGAGTTGTTCCATTTTGCTATTCAGAATCATGGCGGACTACGTTTTGCGGAAATGTGTCGTCCCAGATAACGACGAGAGGTTGAAAGTTAGTCAGCGAAGCAGCGTGAGATGCCCGGCGGTATTTCCAACAGACGTTGAATATGTCGATGACGTGGTGCCGTTGAGCGAATCCGCAAGTTTCCTGAACTGACTCATTGAAAGATAGTGTAACATGGCTGTCGATGAGGGGCTACAAATAAACGCATACGATACGAAGATTACGAGAGCACCCGCGGCGACTGGCAGTCAAAGGATACTACAGGATGGTACCGTAATGGAAGAGATGGATTATTCCAAATCC